TACCCATGCATGCTCAGAAACAAACAATTACTTACTCTTTTGTCCCCTAATATAACACTTCATTTAGGTCTGCATACAGCTTGAAGTGTTTTACCATGCCCTCCCTAATTCCCAGTGAAGTCTGCACTTTGTATATTGTGTGCAATGTACATAATGCAGATTGAGATGCCACAACCAGAAATGCACCACGCAGCAAGGCTTATTTTCTTATGCATGATTTCAAGTGTGTGCTTACCACTGTGGGTGGCTGATAGCCTCCAGGCTGTTGTGACTGCACTTGACCAACTGAAGGTGTGTACCCCTGAATCGTAGCTGTTGGGATAGCCTGTTCATGCTGTGAACCATATGACACAGTGTGCTGGCTACTCACACATGATTCAGTGTAAACTGATGACCCCTGTCCACTGTCAGCTGTCCCATCAGCTGCAAATATTAAAGAACACAAGATTACATTTTTAAAAGCTGCACTGTAGATTCACAACTCCTAAGGTTTTTCTTGAATTTACATCTCAAGCCAAGATTTTTCAGAAGTAGGTGTCTAAAACTAGGCTTTGAATATCAAGCAATTATATATCACAAGTGCAAATTACAGTAGGAACTGATGTGAATTTGAAATTTCCAAATACCTAGCTCTTAAAGTCAGGCCATTTTCAGGTTTAAGTATAGATTTACAAGTCAATTTTGGGCACCCGTTTTTGAAAATCCTAACCTTTAAGCCTCCATCACTTCATTTTCATCTGCATGCAACAATGCCATTGGTGTGACTAACATCCCAACTTCTTCTCCGTTCTCCAACACATCTGGTGTTTGATTAAGATCTTAATTGGTTTTCTATTTTGCCAGCATATTAGCAACATTTAAAGAATATTAAGCCAGGGCAAAAGTAAGATTCTTCTCCCAGAGCAATAAAGGCATACTGAAATACCCATACGTATTCCAATTTAAAAAGCTCTGCAATCTAATATTAGAACCCCTCCATGGGATGAACACCTGTATAGCAGAAGATGTATACTGAATAGTGATCTTAAAACTCAACTGCCTACACAGCAAGTACTAGTTCATTTCTCTTCCCCAGTGAATTAATGCATACACTTTGATCAACTACCATATTCTAATACAATGGGAAAAATCAACAAGGTTTTAAAAGTGCTATTGTAGGCAGGATTATCATCATGGCCTATTTTGCCCTTGAAAGCAAAGTCAGTAAGAAGCTATCAAAAAGACATTAGAATCATGCACAAAAACGCACAGAACCAGGCGATACTTACACAGAACTGATATGCTAGGTTGTTGATACTGTAGCTGTTGGTGCTGATCTGCCTCTGGTTCCTCAGGCTCTACTTGTGTGGAAACTGAGGCAGAAGTAGTAGGGATAGAAGTGGTGCCAGTAACCAATGGTGGATGTTTTACCCCTGCCTGAGCAGCATTTGCCTGTAGCTGTTGTTCCAATTGTTGTTTCTGACTGTTTTCTTCTTGTTTTCTTTTCTCCTCCTCTTCGCGCACCAACTGACGCTGCTCTCGCTTTCGTTTGATGAGAGACACTCTGTCCTTGATGGCTTTAGCCATTGTTTTGTGATCCCCTTCACATACGTACCCCGATTCCACCTAAGGGAGATTATGAATGTGTTCATAACGATTCATAATATGAAAGACACATGGCTTTTTATAGCAATACCCAAAAAGCAGCACATCTTTCCCAAACAATCCTCACTTTTCCCATCTCCTCTGAAATTTAGTTCCAGCCAAGCTGAGGACAGTGACAAGTAGTCAACAAGACAACTGTATTTACCATTTCTTGTGCTACATCCTCTGGGACATCTCTTTCCAGATCAAAGGAAAACTCTATTGCCTCATTATCCTTATATTTGCCCTTAAGTTTCTTGATATCTTCAATGCGTAGCCAGAGCTTGATAGCTATTTTCTCTCCATCATCTTCCTCTGCTAGTTCTACCCGCACACCAGTCTCTTCCTGGAAGAAAGCATGGTTCAAAAGGTCCTTGATAGCATATCTAGGCAAACCAGGAGAAAGAAATAAGAATATTAGGTTTCAATATGACCACCATCTTCCATAATGGCAACTCCAAAAAACTTACAACATTCCATATAAATTCCAACTAAAATTCCTGCTCTAATAGAGGAAAATTAAACAGATTTCAGTTAAAGAGGTTCAAGCAACTGGAACTGGAAAGTGCAATAAAATAATCAAAGCTTTCCAGATTCACGCAGCTTAAAAATTCACCTGCATAGCCATTCAAGTTCTTATCAGTTGTATTTCACTTTAAATTAAATTACAATAATAAACAGCATACTAGCGCAACTAGAAGAGACAGGTACTCTAATAAACTGAGACAGCACTGGGAGTTGAGAGTATAAGAAATGTTACCTTCCCTTTAGTAGATATGTGAAGTGTATGATACTATGGCAAGAGAAGAGTTCTGGGAAGAACTAGAATGGCTAGATGCAATTAAAGTTTATGGCTGCTTACAGATGTTAAGCAAAAGAAAACCCATGCTTTAAACTCAATGTGCTGCTGTGCTGAGCCCAACACTTGCCCAGAAGCAGCATCACAGTCAGACCCAGCTTGCCCAACATTTTTATAGATTGGGTGCTTTAGTGGGGCTTTTGTGGCACTTATCTAATAGCCGACTGAATCAGCTTTAGATTTTTTTAAAAGCTGAAGCGTCTGGTCTATACAGATGCTGTGGAACTGGGTCAAACTAACGTGCTGCTTCTTCTGGTAAAGCGCAGTTTGCTTGTTTTTTAAACATCTGTAAGCAGCCTATGAGAAGATCTAGAAAGCTTAAATGCAATTAAAGCTTGTGTGGCTTGGGCCCCTAGCAGATGTGTTACAGTTAATAGACTAATTACATCCTTAAGTGCATCTCAAATAGCAACCCTGCCACACTTCCAGGCAATAAATGGCACCACAAAAAAGGAAAATGGAAACCAGCCATAAAAATATTACACTTTTTTTTTTTTTGTGAGGGAAGACTTATTCCCTTGATTTTATATATAAAGCACTGTTTAAAGCATGTAATGCACTTGGTGCCTTATCTTTTGAAGAACCATAAGGTCACTAAAAGAAAGAGGCTACGGCAAGAAAGTGAAAGCCATGTTGGCTGATGGGATAATTTCTGATGGAAGCATGGAAATACTGCAATACTATCTTGATGCATGGAGCCTCAAATGCAGAACTGGAGATAAAGATCAAGTCAGAAATGTGAAACAACGGTTGTAACAAGGAAAAAGGCAATCGCAGATGGTAAAGTTAGATTTAGAGGACGACCCAGTTAAATGCTGTTGAAATTAAGCATCCTAGCTTGGTGATCAAAAGCAATGAAGAGACTGGAGAAGAACTGGCAAGAAGCCTTTATAGAAGCACTAAAGGGTTGGTGCACGATAGTTAACACACCCCACAAAAACTAACTCAAATCTAAACGCTTGTAATCATCCCAGTCACATTTGTTATGTGCCTCTGGATCACAAGAAAGAGGAATTTCAATTGGATGTAAGCTACAGAAGTGAATTCAAGGGCAACTGCTGTGAAGTTTACAAGTAGAGCTCAAAGTGAAAAACGGTCTCTGAAGCAGTTTAAGTCAGGAGAGCAAAATGACCCATGCAGAAAAGCAAGGCTGATGTAGTCTGAAAATGTAACAAGGATATGCAAGGACAGGATACCACACAGAATGTCAAAGATGCACATATGAAAAGACAATGCAGCACAGGAAAAGCAACATAAAAAAATAGAAGACAAGGTGAGGAAGAAGTTACTTTAAGAGGTGCCTCTTATGAGGAAGTTACAGCAAAAAGATGGTGAGGAGTAAGGAAGAGATAGAAAGGATTAAGGTACTTCCAGAGTCAAGATGACACTGGAATCTGCAGCTGATGTCACTGCTGCTGCCACCTGGAAAACACCAGTGCAAAGCACGTCCAAACTAGATCCCTGTAGAACGTAAACGGTGATGTCACACTATAGGTACAGTAAAGCAGAGTCACTGCTCTCCAGTGCAAAAGTTGACCAAGTCAGACTACAACTGCGAAGAATTGATTTAGCTAACATGGGCCACAACATTATGGTCAGCACAGAACAAGGGGCAAACACCACAGATCACCTAACCAGAATCAGGAAGTGAACCTGAAGACAATGACAGTAGTATGGTACAAGTATGACTAGTGGACTAGAGTAGCTTAAAAAGCTACCAAAGTAAAAATGGGATTCATGACAGTCAAAAGTACCAGCCTCTGGGTAAGCAACACCCTTTTGAGGCTGGGGAATAAAAAGGATGGTCTACAGAAGGGCTGCAAGAAGCACAGCACTTCAGCAAACAGCATGTGGCTAAAGAGTTTCCTAAGACTGAAAGGAGTTAATGGAAGAAACTTAGTATTAACATCAAGAACCAACAAGGATAGTGCATGGGAAAAAATACCTAACCTAAGCAGAAACTAGATTGTTTTCCTTCAACTACTACTAGCAGCACAGAGAACTAAGTATTGGAACAGCTTCACTTAAATGCTAAGAGGCATTGTGTAAGTTATCACTAATATAGGGGAAATTGTTCAGAAGTCATTGTTCTACTCAGTGTAGGTAACATGGGGGAGACACCACAAAGTAGGGGGGCAATGCCTAGAACACCAGGGATACAGAAAAAAACAAACGAACAAAAAAAACCAAACAGTCCTGTAGAATCAGAGCTCAAAAAGTAAGAAGAAACTTGAGTATGTGACCCAAGGAACCCACAGAGATTACTCCCTAACCATTTTATTGACTACACAAAAGATATTAATTTGGAAATTCTTATGTATTGACTCGTATACAGGACCTGCATCCTTAGTACCTTCGTACATCTTCACTGCCAGCCCTTGCAAAGTCTTCTTAACAACTGTGCTAAAATGGAACCTACCAAAGAGCAAAGTTCATAGAACTGTCACTTAGAGTCCTTAAAATGTTCACTTCCAATAAATATGCTTTCAGTAAACATGGGGCAGATCCAGAAATCAAAGAGTCTTGCATATAAACATTCATAGCAAAAGAGGAGAGCTTACAGGAAATCTGCAGCCTTACAGGATATTCCGGAACTTTGGTCTGTACTAAAATACAAGCCTCCAGACTGTGAAAAAGGACCGTACCTTTCACCTTTGTTTTGCCGAATGCATCCCTCAATTATCTCCTTCACTTCAGGAATTGCTACTTTATCGAAGCTGGCTGGCTTGACTCCCTAAAATAAAGAAACAGTAAGAATACACAAACAGGTACACTCGAGATAAAGTTTAAAACCCCATGCAGTAATGCACATTCATAAGGGCCCCAGACAGATAAACACATACACCAGGGAAGTTTACATCAGTTTTACATATATTAATGCAAGTTCCACCAGTTTCCAGAGGAGAGAGATAGCAGCTATCCCAGGGTGGCTCACACAGTAGGCAGCTATTACTCAAGTCTGCTACTGGTGTTGTGTACAGGAGGAAGCAGTTTGCCTTTAGCAATACAGCTAGGTCAGGTTGGACTCTTAAACAGCTGAAACTAACTGGTCTAAAAACTTACACCAAGTCTTTCAGAGGCAATTTCCCCCCCCCCACCACCAGATTTGATTGTTAGCCCAGTTTAGTGGTGCGGTATCATATGTCCACTATTTTTTTTTTTTAAACCAACCACATAATATCAACAATACCACTGTAAATGTTTCAGCTATCCAGTTCCAAAGCCCACTGTTCTCTAGATATCCAGACATTTTCCCTTAGTGTAAGTTCCAAAGAAGTTTGACCCACAATCCCACTATTAAGTCATTCTTTACTTATCTTTCAAAAACAGCAATGTTCCTATTCCTTCAGAGTGTTAACTGAATGTAGCCTAACTGCTATTCCAAGAACATCTTTTAACTCCTAGAAAAGGGATTTGTTGGCTAGCCAGGCACACAAAAACAGAGAAGGAAGCGAGCATTATGTGCCCCTGCATGTGTATAATGCATTCCTATACGCTGAACTAAAACATACTTAACCCAACAAATAACAAAACAAACAACAACCCAAAACCCCAATCCCACCAAAAAAAAAAAGCCCCCAAAAACCAAAAAAATAAAATCAGCCAATGAAGGGCTGAACTTCACTATGTACTATTATCAACTTTCTTTGGCTTAAGTTTCACTTTATACAGTCTTCATTTCAACTTGGTGCCTAAGACAACAGTATACCAAGTGAAAAGGCAGCAGCCATCCCTGTTTATTCATGGTCAGTTATCTCAAATCTCATTTTACTGAATTTCAGCTTAGTGTGGTTGGCTGCAAGCAAATCTTTTATTTATGGTGCCAGCCACCTTCAGTATCTCTATGACTGAAGCATCTAAGCCTGCAACAAAGGCATATGACAAAGAGAAAAAGCAAGAGCTAACACTGAATTTGCTGGTAGGGAACAGAGCCAGAAGTCGTACATCAAACCTACAACATTTTGGGTCCCAGTTAACTGTTTCTCTCCCATGTTTAATAGCAACAAAGACAAGCATGTTAAACATAGTCCACAGGCCAGGTCTGGCCTGCAGACTTTTGCCCTAGCTCTTGCTGCAGAAAGCCCCACCGCCACAGCCAGATCTGGGTCTCCGGCCACAATTGGTGGTACTTTCACCTCTGGGCTGCTGAGGCTGCACACACTGTGGCAGCTGAGGCACTGACTGCAGCCAGACACTGCTTCTGCCAGCAGTGCTGCTAGGACTACCACCATGACCAAAACTAGGAGCCTCTAGCCATGGTGGTGAAACTTCTACCCACAGGGTTGCCACCACAGGAAGCCTCTCTACCATGGCCAGTGGCAGGACTTCCCCTCTGGTGATGCTGTGGCTGCCCACACCCTACCTTGCCCTGGTATGCCGATTGCTCCTGGGAGAAATGCTGCCTTCCCAGCCAGAGCTTGAGCTGTGGCCACAGTGGCAGGGATTCTGTCCTTGGTACTCCTAGGGCTGCCAATACAAGAGATGGTGTGCACCCCATAGGTCCCTGAAAAAGAGGGAATGCAGCCCTCCAAAATTTTGACACCCCCGAACTAGGGCAACATCTTCTCAAAGTGGTCATTTCAACACCCTCACTCATGCGTTTCCCATAATGAGAAAGAGGTTGCAGGAAGCAAAGATGGAGAGCCCTGAACCATAGCATTCAAGCCAACAGTCTACCATTTAAAGTGAGAGGGAGCTAGAATCATGGTATTTTTAGCACGGATTTCAAAATGAATGATTTTTTTTTCTTTTGACCTTTCACATGTTGCTTGTCTATTTTCCAGGAGAGCTCACCCAGGCGGTGCAGTCCATGTCTACCCCCATAGCACTTTGCATGGGGCTGAGCCCCACCCAGGGTAGCCCAGTGCTGCTCCAGCCATGGCCAGAGTGCACAGCTTCTGGTAGGCTCCCAGTGTAGCTGCTGCTTCACTCCCCATGCCTCCAGCAGCAGCAGCAGCTCCTCCTCTTGCTCCTGCTGTGCTGCTCTGGCCCAGCAGGAAGCTTCAGCTGGGACGTTCCTGCCCCAGCACGCGGGGCTCCAACTCTAGCTCCCGGCTGCCTTCCATCCACTCAGTGGCTCGCACCAGGAAGACAGAGTGGGTGGATGGCAGCCAGGAGCTAGAGTCAGAGCCCCACACATTGGGGCAGGAGCCACCCAGCTCAAGCGGTGCAGCAGGAACAGGAGGCAGAGCTGCCACTGGATGCAAGGAAAGCTGAGCAGCAGCTACACTAGAAACAGCCCTGCTGGAAGCTGTGCACTGTGGCTGGGGCTGGGCCCACAGGCGTGTGGTGCAGGCTGGAACATAGTATGGGCTGGAGCGCAGTGCAGGCTCATCCCCATGCGGAGCACTGCAAGGGCAGCCGCAGGCTGGGTCTAATCAATTGGTAGGTGCTCCCTCACAGGCCAAATCCAATCAGTTGGCAGGCTGGATTTGGCCCATGGGCTATTTTTTGCCCACCTCTGCTCCAAGCTGTACTCTTGCTTACAGCCTCCTGCAACTAAGATTTAAAAACTGAAAATGCAATACAGTACAACAAAAAAGCAAGCAAGCCCTGGAGTACAGCCCCATAGTGAACATTAGCTTAATGCTTTTAAAAATGTTATTGAACATGAGGCTTTCAGAGGCCAATGCCTCTGTCGATAAGACATCAGGCCAATGTTTGTAAGAATGAATTTGATACAACAGCCTGGCATGCAAAGCCCTCCAGCAGGACATTAAGCAGCACCATACGATGCTGCAAGAGATATTCAAGGCAGCTAAATTTTTAACCTTCGCCTTCTACTCCAAATTCCTGGTGCATTTTTTTTTTTGTTTGTTTGTGATCATATTACTGCTTAAAGTGCTAACTCTTGTCAAGGCTAAATTGTGGTCCAGCTTAAATTAAGACCAGGCATTCAGATTGTAAAATGGTTACTTTGACTACACAGTCTCTGGTGCAGATTTGTACCCAAATTCAGACAGGTAAATTACTTTCTAGCGTAAGGAACTCGTAAAATAAAACCTGAGCTGTAACATAGCAACAGTCCACTCCAGTTTACAGCACCAACAGTGGCAATGAAATGTCTCATTTGAGACGGTGTACATATACATACTATAAAGATAGAATATAAACCAGACTAGAATATAAAGTCAAGGAAACTAGCAGAAGAATTTCCTCATTTGATGATACATCATTCTTGCAGTGGCATCAAAATCTGAAAAGCACTGAGAGGCAAGAAGAGAAGGCCCACAACCAGAAGACCCCAGACTGCTGTTCTCCCATTCCAAGAAGGATTAAATGCAACACCCATAGTCTGTTCAGGTACTTCCTTCAGGGCACTGCTTTAGCTACACTAAAACTTGTGTTAAACTCCTCAAATAAGAGTGCAACAAAAATATGATCTACTTTTCTCCTACAGCTAGAGCTTCCCTGCTCTTACTTGCTCAGGCCAAAAGAGGAGCAAAAAAGGGAGACATGGGCATGCCCTGACCAATTCATTCAAGTTGTGAATAACCACACAATCTCCCAATAATCCTATGGGGGGGGAAAAAAAGAAAAAGAAAGAGACACTCAGAACATACTTTGCTACTAAAAGTCATGCTATGCAGTAGAGTGTCATGTGTTTGGCAGATCCTATCTCTCAGCCTTCCCCAAGCCTGCTAAGAAGCATCAGGAGACAGCAGTAAGAGAGAGGAAAAAGCAACTGTATTTCTTAGAAGCTACCAGTTCCATTTCTCAGTGGCAATAAGAATACCCCATCTCCCTTCCTCCCCCACCCCACCATTCTCAGCAACCCTTCCCTTCCTCTCTGTGCTCAGCAGCACCTCCCCTCTTCTCCTCTCCTTGCACATCTCTACTTACTCCCTGCACCCAGGGAGACCTGCCAGCCACTTGGGCTGTCCCAGATCTTCCTGCCCTGCTCCAGCCAAAGCTGCAGACAGCAGCTCTGTGAGGAGTCAGGCTTGGCCAGGGACAGCAATGGGACATGCATTCCCCACTCCATGTCTGCTCCTGGGCTGCCAGAGAAGAGAACCCACCCGCCACTGCCATTATCCCCAACTGAACCCAGCACCTCAAGCAGCCCAGTTGGTTGGAGAGGGGCAGGAGTGGCTATGGAGCAGTTCCCCCTTCCCCCCCAGGTCAGCTGGGGACAGCAGGGACAGTGGCAGCATCAGCTAGGGGAAGGGAGAAAGGGAGGGGTGGGAAAGTACCACTGAGCAGTGAAGGGAAGGGAGAGGTGTGCCGGGAGAGGTGGACTCTTACCTGCTTCAAGGACTTAAAAAAATTCCCTGGCTGCTGCTCCCACAGCACAGTCCAAAAGTGGGTGCAACCACATCGCTGCACCCCCTCTGGATCTGCCCCATACCAACACTTGTATATTGTTCCTTTTTGTTATCTGTAGTAAAGTGTCCTTGCCCACAGCAGATTTAAAGAGAACAACACATGCTTGATATCTGCTCTAGGCATATAGAAGTCTTTTTGGGAAGATATCAACATTTTAATTGTTCTACTTTAAATACTGCTAGTCCCTGGTTACTAGAAGTTATCTTATCTTAAGAAGCAGCCAGAGCAAATCAATATTCTATTCACACCAAACATTGCAACCCCAAGGTCAGCAGCCTTTCAGAGAAGCAGGCCACCCCATGTGACCTACCACCACTGGAGACCCCCCCCCGCAACACTCTTAAGCAGGCACAGTAGCGTAGGCACTGTGAAGTCACACACTGCCAACACCCATCCAGTGGCAATGGG